AAAAGAAAACAGAGCTTGTTGTGTAGTGGAAAGGAGCCAGGGTGTGGGTATGTAGGAAAAATGGAGAACTGGACCATTGCACACAGATCCACTATCCTCCCCGCAAAAAAAAAACAACTAATAAAATTCTCATTTTTCATTTTGCAGTTCTTTAATGCAAACTGTTAGGTGTATATAAGAGAAGACTTCCAAATATGATCACTGAGGTCACGGTTCTACATCCTGGGTGGATGGAGCTCCAGCATAACCTTTCCTTGCTGGCTCTGCTGTGATGGGCATACCCCAGTGGAGCAAGTGGTCTTCCTATGACTTGCCTGGCAGCATTCAGCAGCTTCTGCCTGAGGCACTCTCAAGAAATAGGGGTGGCCTAAAACTTCCCTGCAAATTGAATAATTTGTTTCAGTGTATTTTTCCTATTCAATGTCCTGCTTGTGTATATATCATCTGTGGTGGGTATCTGTTCAGACAATGCATTTAGGTTCTTGCAAGGGTTCTGCCATTTTGAGTAAGGAGCAGGCACAGTTTAAGAAGAAAGTGTGGGGGCACAGTCATTTGCAAAACCAAAACACAGCTGTTGAGGCTAATTTTAGGTTTTCCTTGTCTTAACACTAGTCCAGTAAACAAACAAGCTAGTTGCTAGTCAGAAATTATTGCCTGGTTGCATATCTCTGAAGAACAGTGGGAATATTAATGTGATCTTTCTCTAAAATTATATTCCTAGAGGCCTCTGAAATAATGAGAGACATTGGAACAGCCATCCAGCATCTACATGCAATGAACATTGCCCATAGAGATGTTAAGGTGAGGCTTGAAAGTGCTTTGGCAGAGAGAAGACAAATGAGACCATAAAAGCAAAATGACTGTGGTGACTTACACTGGCCATTATTGCTATACAAGAAGATCTTGGTTATTTCAGTTTTTAATTGTTCAACATCTAGATCAAGATTTGAAATTTATAAATATATAGCTATTAGGAGCCAAATGTGTTTTAAAAAGAGCTAAGAAAGTGGAGTGTTTGCTTAAGTAGAAATTGCCACATTTTAACCTACTGATAATTTCTTCTGGGTGACATACCGATCAGTGCAGAAGAATGGAACAGCTTTATATTCTTTTGTTTTCACACCATTACAGCCAGAAAACCTGCTCTATACATCCAAGGGAAAGGATGCAGTGCTCAAGCTTACAGACTTTGGGTTTGCCAAAGAGACGACGATACAGAATGCACTGCAGACCCCTTGTTATACCCCCTATTATGTAGGTGAGTCTGTCTCATGTCATCCTTTCCATTTAGTAGTTCTAAGGACATGGGGAAGGGGCACAAAGAAATAAGGAACTTCTTGAACCAGCTTGAATACTTGTTAAACTTTCCCGGTATCCACTGAACTTATACTGGAATATTTAAAGCATATTTGTCAAGTGGTCATCAGTTATTGTTTTGGAGGAAAAATAAAACTCCTTCTGCTCATTCTTCCCCATCCAGCCCCAGAGGTTCTTGGTCCTGAGAAGTATGACAAATCCTGCGACATGTGGTCTCTTGGTGTCATCATGTACATTCTGTAAGTGTGAAAGTGGGAGGGGGGAAAGATTAACAATGCATAGTCCTTGATACGTCAGGTATGAGCAGGCACTTCCCTTATATCCCAGCCCACTCCCATTCCTGATTCCAATGGCACATCACTGATATTTCAATTTATGCTGTACTACGAAAAATTAGTCAGTGGGGGTTATTATTCATTCCATCATAGGGATAGTTGGCAGCCATCTGTGATTCTGTATGGGCCCAGAGATGAGATGCAGCAATGGCCTACGTATCACAAGCTATTCTTTCTGTGACACTTTTTTGCAGTTTGTGTGGGTTCCCTCCCTTCTATTCCAACACTGGCCAAGCCATCTCCCCAGGAATGAAGAGAAGAATTCGGATGGGGCAGTACGGGTTTCCAAATCCTGAATGGTCAGAAGTATCTGATGAAGGTAAATAGAATTGCTGTCTGCTTCTAATACACATATATCCAATGATGGATGAATGAGATAATTTTCTTTTAAAGAAAAAAAAAGACTGTAAAAAATGAATATTCAATTCTTGATCACTGAGAGAAGTCAGATCAGTGCTAAAATATCCAGAAACCCAGAAGATGTTGAACAAAGCTACATTTAATTGTATTTCCCAAATACTTTTATTTCAAACTCTATTTTGAGGTCATCATGATGCAGCTGAAAGAGGATGGCAGCCCAGCAGAAATGGAGACAGAAATGGGCTCTAGGGACGAGTGTTGGGGCAGTGCTTCATCGCTCCTAGTAGCATCTTGTACTGGCTTCTGCTTGTCATGCCAGTGGGTGGTTAGTTGACACTACTACAGCAGCAGCTTTTCTTTCCAGATGTGATGATGCCCAGAGCTGTTTATGTGAAGGGGAGTGAGGAGGAAGCTTGTGTTAAGAATTATAAGTAGCTCATTGATGCTCCGTGCAAGATGTTTTGTCACCTCAGGGCCAATTTCATTGGCGCAGTCATATCCATCTGATAGTTATAGCTGACATATATAACAAGAGGAACATACCTTATGTATCTGCCAGATAAAATGAAGCATCTACCTTGTCAGTATGAGCTGGTGCAGCTGTGCCTGTCTTCCTTCAAACACCAAAAATCTAAATTTTGAACATTTTGAAAGCCATGTAGGCTAGAAATTCCAGTTTCCTTTGGCAGGGAGGAGAGTGGAGATTTGAAGCCATTTTAGGATTGTGTGTCAGGTATCACATCCCCCTCTGTCAACAAGGAGATTGTTTTAACAGTCTTTGAAGTGCACGTGTCTTTAAAAGAGAGAAAAAAATATGTGAGGCAAAAACTATGCAGTAGATCTTTCTCCTCCCTCCGGGACATCTGTAGAAGTGATAGATCATAAACTAGCTCTAAGGTGTTAATTGGTGTAATCATTGTTAGGAATAAGACCCCTTGCATCAGGGTAGCCTGCCAGAACCAAGAAATGGATTACAAGTACACATTAGCAGGGGATACAGCTATGATATATCCACAACCAGGAGCAAGCATTCCAAGAGTTTATTTTATAGGCATAGATCAGTATGTCATTTTCTTAGCAGGAATTCAAAAGCATGAGCATTCTTGAATTCACATCTCCAGTAACATGTAGCATCTAAATCGGCCTTCACTGTATTTCAGTGACTCAAAAGATTCAAGCATTATTAGAAATTTTAACAATATTCCTGGCACAGCATATGTAAGCCATTAAGTGATTTCATGTTATGGGGCTAGGAGCTGGAGACACTCAACTATAAATGATAGCTAAAATATTAACTGTTTTGACTTGTAGTCCTAATCAAATTTAGATGAAAGCAACCCCCATTGAATTTAGTGGCACTTCTGGGTACATCTTATTAGGAATCGGCTGTCAAACATGGGTCTAGGATGACGCATTACAGCTGCAAAAAAAGAGACTGTTTTATAGCTTGGTATTTTTCATTCTTTTTCTCTTCCTTCATCACTTTTCTGCCCTTTTACAGCTCATCTTTAAATAGGACTGTATGCATATTCTATAGTCATGTGTAGGTGTCAAGTTTTTCTACCTTGAATGCTGGTTTTAAAAGAAAGTATATGGTGGTCAACAATTTTTATTAATTTTTCAAGGTTTTATCCTCTTGCCTGAACTTTGCAGGCATTTGTCATTTATGTTTGACTCTTTTCCCCCCAGCTAAGCAGCTAATTCGTCTATTGTTGAAGACGGATCCAACTGAGCGGATGACAATTTCTCAGTTTATGAATCACCCTTGGATTAATGTAGGTCCTGCACAATCACTACAGTGTTTTTATTAAAGTGGGTGGAGCCTTTTCACTTTCAGAACAGTAAAATGTTGGCTGCCTGCCACAGTAAGGGCGACTGTAACCTAATTTAACCATGAGTCTGCCTTGTGAAGAATGGCTTGAACATACAAACATATAATTTCCCCACCAGAGTGTGGGGGAACATTTTTGATGGGAAAAAGGGTTCTGTGAGTGGCAGCTGAGTACATTACACCTCCACCCTAACTGCTCTCAGCTAGCACTGGCTGTTCATTGCACTGTGCACGCACCCTCCTTCCTTCACTTATAAAAAGTCATATTACTTCATCAGTGTAGGATTTGTGGAGCACTATTATTAGACATCTGAGGCACCATCGTGCTGAACTGTGTTGATATGAATAGAGAACCTACTGCTTTGAGGGCGTTCTCAGTCTTTGGCACAGATCTAAAAATGCCAGGGGTGGGGGTGGGGAGTTTAATGTGAAGCACACTGAGAAAATAACACCAGAGACTGTTTTTAATGGTGATGCTGACTAAAAGGCCATGGCGATGCTGAACTGGGCCTTCCTCATCTTGAGCAAATGTCTCTTCCACACGCACACACATGCATTCACACCCCATGAAGAAGAATTCTTTGCCTCGGGCAGAAGCAAGCCTTTGCTGGGGCTAAAACTCTAAAATGTTTCAGGGTGTCTCTGTTGCGTATTTCCATACAGGAATCACCAGCTTTCTGTATTACTTTTGTTTGCCTATCACTAAGGCTCTGTAAGGTAAAGGTAAAGGTTCCCTTGCTCGAAAGCCAGTCGAATCCGACTCTAGGGTTGCGGTGCTCATCTCCGTTACAAAGCCGAAGAGCCAGCGCTGTCCGAAGACGTTTCCGTGGTCATGTGGCCGGCATGACTAAACACCAAGGCGCAAATTACATTTTTAAATGATGCTGAGAAAATGAAAGATGTTAAATTTCTCTAAACAATCCATAAAGAACAGTGCAGCTGACAGGTATGTTTTTGCTATAAGAGAGGGTGAAGCCTCCCAATATCTGTTGGTCCCCTGGCCAGTGACCAAGGCCAAGAGGTCCTGTCCACACTAACGTAATCCCTTCTGCCCTCCTTTTTCACTCCTCTCAAGTCTCCGAAGTTCAGTACTGCTGCCATATGGGCTGTCCTTTCCTTTATGGCTCACACTGGTTTAATAATGTAAAAAGGTTTGATTAGCCTACAGTGCAATTGCTATCACTCATAGACCACCAAAAGTTCTTTTAAAAAGTTCTTTCATTTTGCGGTTGGGTAGTCACAGAGTAGAATGCTGATTTGCAGTGGCGTGCCGAGCATATTTGACATCTGGAACAGATCATTTTTAACACCCTCCTCCTCTATCCGCCTTGAGCCCCGGTGAAAAAGGCAAGCTATAAACAATGTAAATAAAACAAACAAATGTCCCACAGAACATTGTTGTTGACAGGTGTGCTACTGGTATTAAAGCTGTGAGCGAGCGATTTGGCTGCTGCATCAATTAGTTTGCTCTGGAGCCCGCCTTCCTGAGCGAAGACAAAAATGTGTGAGCCGGAGGCTAAAAAACTGTGAGCTAGCTCACACTAACTCAGCTTAGAGGGAACACTGAGCCCCGGTGAAAAAGGCAACCTATGAACAATGTAAATAAAACAAGCAAATGTCCCACAGAACATTGTTGTTGACAATCTGTTTGCTGACATCTCTTCCATGTAGTGCCATCCACTGTCCACTTCTGCTGATACCCCTTAACACGCACAAACCCAGGCTTCTGCAATCAGGTTACTTTGTGTCAACTCGTCCACTGCTAAAGGAAAAAGGCACCTGCTCACCCCACGGCTTCTTAGCATACACTGAGCAGAGAGAGCGTAGGGACTCAGCTCTGCTGCCAAATTTCCTCCTAGGATTTAAAAGGACGTTTAAATCTTGGAGCCATTCTGCATCCCTGAAGGTTTCTTGGCCTTTCCAGTGTAACCAACCAGGTGGCCTGTTAGAGAAATGGAGGGGCCATGATTGTACCTTCCATCCTCACTCTGCTCAGGTGTGTGTGTGTGATCCTAAATGGTTCAATGGCTCCTTTGGGGTGGAGGGAGGAAAAAGGGCCACCAAATTTCCACCATTGTCCCCAAATGACACTACCTGGGTTTTTATTGTGTTGGTCCAAAGAAACCACCTGTAACCAACCAGGTGGCCTGTTGGAGAAATGGAGGGGCCATGGTTGTACCTTCCATCCGCACTCTGCTCAGGTGTGTGTATGTGATCCTAAATGGTTCAATGGCTCCTTTGGGGTGGAGGGAGGAAAAAGGGCCACCAAATTTCCACCATTGTCCCCAAATGACACTACCTGGGTTTTTATTGTGTTGGTCCAAAGAAACCACCCCCAATATGGGTCACTTCCCCACTGCTCCCTCCCCAGCCTTCCTTCCTTCCCAGTTCCCCCACGTGGAAAAATGTCCACACGGAAAAAAGCCCACATGGAAAAAAGACCATACACATAAAAGCCCACACAAAAAAAAGCCTACAGGGAAAGAAGCCCACATGGGAAAATACCATGTAAAGCGCCATAGATATTTATAATGGTGGATAACCATTCATCTCCATTATGAGAATGAACAGGTATTACCTATATTCACATGCAACAATTTGTGTTGTGATTTTATCAATTATAATCAAATACTAATTTTGCTATGTTATTAGTAAATCACTTCATTACTATACAAAAGTGGCCTGTATGAAGATGGCTTTAATGCTCTTGAGTTTAAAGGCTTGGAAGGGAAAATGCAGGAAATAAAAGTGACCATTTTGTTATCAATGAACTTTATTAAGAAGGAAAAACAATAGCAACAGAAATTAAACTCTATATAGAAATATTTTTAAATAAAATTAAATACTTTAAATTTACTACTTTACCATTTGCAATTTACACTGGGATGACTGCAGTGGAATAGGGAATTAAGAGCACTACATGACATGGTTGCCCCTTCTGTTATTATTTGTTATTTAATGTTATCTTATGGTTTTGTTAACCTCAGTGGGGACCCCTCCCCAAACTCTGGCTTCCTTAGACACAGAATATCCAGGAATTTCCCAACCTGGAGCTGGCTACCCTAGTCAGGATTAGCCCCAATGAGTTCCTCACAATGGCCTGGAAAGGGTTTCCATCCTTTGTCTTTTTACTGACAGAACCAAGCTTGGTTGCCTAGCAACAGCCACTGATAGAAAGGTTAGTCCCACAGGAGCCAAGCAGGAGAAGTATCTTCATCAGGAGAGAGACAAACATATTTCCAACATGTTCCAAGCCCTGGTATTCCTTGGAGGTCTCTCTTCCAATTTCTTGCCAGGGTCAGCCCTGCTTAGCTTCCAAGATCTGACAAGATCAGGCTTGCCTGGGCTATCCAGGTCAGGGCTTGTTTTAATGTTATAAACCATATGGTATTCCAGCAGAAAGACATTGCCTGTCTCTGAGCATGTGCAGAACAAAATTCTGAGATTTTGATAGTTAATTCTGTGAAGGAAGAGTGTCCAGGCTGGAAGTGGACAGGAGAGAAAAGTGGGCCCAGCACCCAGCCAATGGCACACGAGTACTCTTGAGTGGTCGTTGATGGGGCAATGGCTGATGGAGTGCATAGCACAGCCAATAGGAGAGCTGGAAAAAATGGCCAACGGTAAGACAATTATATATATATAGGATACCTATTCATTCTCATAAGTGGAGAATGGTTATCCACCATTATAAATATCTATGGCGCTTTACATGGTATTTTTCCATGTGGGCTTTTTTCTGTGTGGGACTTTTTTCCGTGTGGGCTTATTTCCATGTGGGCTTTTTTCCTGTGAGCATTTATGACCGTGGGGTTTTTTTTTGGCCTTTTTTCCTAGAACCAAAATATCAGGTGCCCAAACATTCAACCTCTGTTAAATGGGCAAGACAGTCACACACACCCAGCTGTTGGCAACCCAACCCCCTCTTCAGAGCAAAGACCAAAAGAAATGGAAGTGGAAGAAAGAGAGCAGCCAGCTCAGGGGTGTCCAGAAACAAGGGCCATTGCCGTAGATTACTTTCATTTGCTAAGAGGCCCTTTCGATCAGTAGTGCCTCTATATCCACAGCAGGCAAACTCATAATTTCTAGTACTGACTGAACGTAAACACGCCCATTCTGCACATAGGGAATTATGTCCATCTTTGCCTGAAGAAGGTGACCCATGCACATTGCGGTTTGCTTTCAAATGAACTGCCCCCCTCCTAGATCACTGAGACACAGAGACACCCTGAAACATTTTAGAGGGGTTTTTGGCTGCTTGATGGTAGTGTTATGTTGTTTTGGGCCCATGGCTTCTGTTTACTGGCTTGTTTTGAGATTAATAATTTATGTTGGTTCTACAATATTGGTTTTTATTTGTGAGGCATATGAAATAAATACCCGAGCTTTTCCAATAGATTTCACCTGTTTTTCCTTTCCCTATAATATGTTACTTGCTTTGGGCTTTCTTGCAACTTCTGGAGTAATCAGTGCTGCTAGAACATTTCTGCTTCACCTGTGCTCTTATGAAGTCAGCCCACAGAATTAGTAGATCGGGAAGCATGGACGGCTTCAAAAGGAAATTAGATAAGCATATGGAGCAAAGGTCCATCAGTGGCTATTAGCCACAAGGTATAGATAGGGGCTCTGGGGCAAGTGATGCTCTGTCTTCTTGGTGGTTTGGGGGGGTCAACAGTGGGAGGGCTTCTAATGTCCTGGCCCCACTGGTGGTGTTGAGGATCAAATTATTTTCCCTGCACCAAACACAGAGCTGTTCCACCTCGTCCCGATAAGCAGACTCATCATTCCGCCCAGCAGGAACTCATTAGCATAATAGGCCACACCCAACAGCAGAAACTCGTTAGGATTGGCTACATTGGGGGTGTGTGGCCTAATATGCAAAGGATTTCCTGCTACAAAAAAAAGGCCCTGGGTTTTGACAACAAACAAGGTAAACAGAATAACAAGCAAAAGGTGGGTGTGGCTGGATAACCACACTTCTGGTAACATGTGGGTGCGGACTAATGTACTAATGAGCTGTGCTGTCAGGGGTGTGGCCCAATATGCTAATGAGTTCCTGCTGTTAGGTGTGGCCTGTTATGCTAATGAGTTCCTGCTGGGCTTTTTCTGCAAAAAGAGCCCTGGTTTTGACCCTTTCTACTTTTTCTTTCAGTTTCCTCCCCACATGTCCCCTCATATCAGAGAAGATACCCCTTTTAAAATTAAAAGTGGTTGTGTCAGTCTTTTTGGCCACTTCCCTATTTATACAAATGTTGAACTCAACAACATTATGATCACTGTTCCCAAGCAGTGCAATCACTTTTACATCTCTCACCAGGTCTTGAGTGTTACTTAGGATTGGCCTAGATTGTTTGCAGCTTTTGTGGTCTGGCAGTTTAAGCAGTAATTACACACGTGCAAACGTCATCTGGCCACCAGGTTTGTTAAGGAAAAGTAGGTGCAGGTAATTAAGAGCAGAGAAGCAGTATTTACAGAGAGGAGAAGTAAATATTTATACCCTGGAATTTATATCCAGTGGAGACCCAAAGCTGCATGCAGCATGACTCTCTGCTCCTCCATTTTATCCTCACAACAACAATCCTGTGAGATAGGTTTAGCTGAGAGAGTATGTGACTCAAGGTCTCCCAGCAAGCTTCCATGGCAGAGTAGAGATTCAAACCTGGATCTCCTAGCTTCTATTCTGATACTCTAACCACTACAGCAGTAGTGGGGTATGGGCACAAAATCATTTACCTTCTCCAAATTGATCCTCCCCAGTAGCTTTTCCCCCTCCACGGGTTTTCAAGTATGAACTTTTGAGAACAAATATACCTTGGAAACACTGGGGAAAGGGAAGCTGCTGGGGATAATCTGAAGTGAGAAAGGGATTAAATGCCTCTTCTCGAAAAAGCTTTCCTTAAAAAAAAAAAAAAAAACAGCACTGGGGCTGTACTTATCCCCTCACAGCACCATTGTAAGTAAACACCCTTCTAACTCCATTGATTGCAGTGGTCTTAGAAGGGTGTAACTTTGCTTAAGACTGTACTGTGAATCACCTCAAAAGATTCTAGCTACAATCCTGTGTAAGTGACAGGCATTTCAGTGATATTAAAATATATAATTTGTGCTCAGCAGTGCAGACAAGTACATTTTCTTTCTTCTGTTCCTTAGGTGACACATTTATGCAATTTTCTTAAGACTTGTAATCATCTTATCAGCAAGGACAGCAAGCAGTGTGGTGTCGAGAGTAGTTTTGTTATCTAAGATAATATTTATATGTTCCTGCTTCTTTGTTTTCCTTAGCAATCCATGGTGGTGCCACCAACCCCTCTTCACACTGCTCGGGTCCTACAAGAGGATAAAGATCACTGGGATGAAGTGAAGGTAATGTTTGTCTGTGCTAGTAAAAAGATGGGTAATTTCAAATCAAAGATGTATGGAGGGTTGGTTTACTTTTACAGTTTAACACATTTTTATTCCTCTACATCTCAGATGCATAAAATCTGCTTTTCTTTCTTTCTTTCTTTCTTTCTTTCTTTCTTTCTTTCTTTCTTTCTTTCTTTCTTTCTTTCTTTCCAATGACTGACAAAATACATACAACCTGCAAATTAAGATGTTTCCCGGATTCATGCAAGATGGGTTGGAGGGGGAGGGGTATAATTATTGGCTCAGGGAAGTTGAAGAGGTTCTGTGACAAGGGGTTTCTGTTTTTGTCAGAGCGTAACGGGAACTGGCACTGTCTCTGTTTCATTGTTGTCCCCTGTGGGTTTCAGGAGGAGATGACTAGTGCTCTGGCTACCATGAGAGTGGACTATGACCAGGTAAAAATCAAAGATTTGAAAACATCCAACAACCGTCTCCTCAACAAACGACGCAAGAAACAGAAACAAGGAGGCACCTCTTCATCATCTCCTGGATGTAATAACCAGTAAAGAGAAGGGAAGAACATAAATATAAAAAGGAACAATTAGTTCAACTGGCTTCAGCTCATCTTACTACCAAAAAAAAGAGAGGAATAAATCACTGAAATAGTGAAGTGTGCATGCCCTATAAGGGATGGTGAACTGTGACATACAACATATGATGTTCTGGAACTTCTGTTTGGGTATTGGGTTGTTTGTATGGGGTTTTTTTTCAAAATGGAAATTACTTGTTTTTTACATTATAGTAAAAAGACTGCCTAAGAGTTCCAGACAACCATGGAATTCCAATGAAGCTTTAGATTAGTAAATGGCACTGGAAGCAATGTACATTTGGTGCTTATTCACAACAGCACAATCTTGCCAAGGCTAATCACATTTTAGTTTCATTGATTTCAGTGGGAGAGAATTAAACATGTATTTACATTATCCAATTGAATTCAGTGGGATATAAAACTGCTTAACTTTGGTTGGATTATGCTCCATGTATTTGAGCAGTGAGGGACTGCTTTTTTCCCATGGTATAATCCCAAGTATCAGAGAGGTCAGAGTATTTCAAAAACTCTGACAACAGCACACGGACAAATGTGAGGAATATAAAGTTTTTACATCTTCCTGCGTGATCTTACTACATTTTCATATTCCAACATGCTCATGTTGTAAATAAGACTGTTTCATTTCTAGGGTTAATGCTTATGACTTGCACAGTATCCATTGAAAGAGGAAAGCATTGTTTTTTGTTTTCAAGAAAATATTTATAATTTAAGCTTTAAGGCTTATTCCTGTATTCAGAAATCTGCTACACCAAAAGTACATTGTATAGGAAAGTTTGAGAGAATCACATGAAGATGTGTGGATTGTGTACGCTTTTGTTTCTCTGCAGATAAACACAATGGGAAATTGCACTTGGCTGTAGTTCCCCTGTGCATGGTCATGCAACGAAACAGACATGTGTAATCAGTACATATTAAGACACAGCAGGTTAACATTCTTTTTGGCACATAATTTCTCAGTATTTTATGACTTTTCCAGTACTGTTACTTAATTGTCTGTTGTTTTTAAATCTTAATGCACAAATTTGGACAAAACAGCATTTGATTTCAATGGAAAGAACATCCTCTGCCAACCTGGAAGAAGCTGGGAAGGTGGTGTTCTTCATAGAAACTGAAATCTGACTTTCCAGAAACTCAGATCTGACTTTCCACACCGCTTGTTGCAGACAGGGTTTTAATTAAATGTACAGCGCTGATTTTTGTCATCTGCCATTTTATCCAAAAGGTTTATAATAATCACATTAGACATAAACACCTTTTGATGTAGCAGGAAAGATTTTTTAAGAATAAATGGACATGTCAACAATGTTCCTAAATTCAAGGAACCACTCATGCTGCATAGAACGACATTGATCTAGATATGCTCATCCTCTCAGTGTGTTAGGTTGGATTTCTTGGTGTACTTTGTCAGATACTTTCCTACTTGTTATACTGTAGATTTTAATCTGGTGAAATGTAAGCGGGGGGGGGGCAGGATTAAGCTTCTCAGCACTTACAAGTGGACACTTCTCTCAGGACTGTGGATATTCCATCATGGTAGCAAAATGTACCAGGAACAGCAGTTGTGCCAAATAGAGGATAAATGCCCAAATTTTCCCATGCCAAGTGTCACACTTGTCTAGTCACATGCCAGCCACCTTTTTTCAAGCCATTCCATCATGTGCAGGCTGTTCCCATGATAAGGGTGCACACATGAGAACACTTCCAAAATGAGTCCAGGGTAGCTGTTCATATGAATCTGCCATGAACCACTCCATTGACCACTCAGTGCCTCTCTTTGAGCTGCAGGCGGATATTGGACTGATTTTAAGGAGCACTGGATAAAACTGTTCTTTGTGAAATATTAATATTTTACACAAACTAATAAATGGTGCTTTTGCATTTTTTTCTTAAGTGGGTCTGCTTCTTCACTGTGATTAATTAGTAATAGGGCCCTGAACCAGCTTTGTCTATAGAGCTGAAATCTTTCCCAGCCCTGCAGCAAAAAAGACTGCATTTAACCATAGAATGGAAACTTAGTTTGAAGGATTCACTTCTGCTCAGAAGGACTGCTACACAGCTGATGCTTTATCTTCTAATTAGCTTAAATGTTGATTTATTAGTTAATGGTAAGTGCAAAGTAAGATTAACAGTATAATCCTACATAGAGTAACATCCTTCTAAATGTATTGACTTCAGTTGACTTAGAAGGGTGTAATTCTGTTTAGGATTGCACTGTTAGTAAGCTAAAACTGGTTTTTCTAAACACGTGTATTGGTTTGTTTGTAGTTAAAGATTGGCCTTGGAATCTTAGAGTCAATCCTGGCTACAGTTAGGAGTTTCCATTCCTCCCTGGACTCCTGCCTGTCCCTTTTGCTGCTTGGCATTGCCTGACCTGAAAATGCAATTATCTATTCAGCTACTCTGGAGTATAGTGACTGTTCCCAAGACAAGCAAGTTTCATACATCCAGGTTTTTTGCTTTCTTGCTGTCTGGAGTTATTTCCCCAGACCATTTACCTAAAAAGTTATTTCTTTGTAAGAAAGCTACTTACACCAAAATGTATGACAAAAACATGTCTATTTCACTCGATGAACATGCAGGGCAAACTCATTGCCAGCTGAGCCTCTCACAGTATATGCTGAGCAAAATGAACGCAAGAACACAGTTATTCATTTCTGAAGATTAATAGTAAGGGCATGCTTTATTTAATTCCTTTATTGCCTGCCTTTCTCAGTGAGACTCACTGTGGGTTACAGAATTATAAAACAAAGCAATAAGACTAGTATTATACATCCAGTAAAAATGCAATATGAGAGGAGACAGAATTATTAAACAGCCCTATTGTGTTTATTTAAAAAGTGCCCTCCTGAGCAATGACATTTAACACTATCCTATTCCCTTTATAAAAATACCCCTCTGAAAAGTTCCATTTTAGATATTTTTCAGAATTATGGAAGTACTAGGAATAAGACCCGTTGTGGAGATTGGCAACAATGGTTCCCCAGGAGGAGATGGCTGGTTTGGAGGATGGAGTCTATGGCATTGTACCTTTCTGTGGTCCCACCCCTCCTCAAACCCCACCCTCTCCAGGCTCCACCTCTTGAATCTCCTGGAATTTCCCAACCTGGAGTTGGCAACCCTATCTCCTTCCCAGCCAATCATCAATGTACTGTTAACTTCATCTTTCCATCTCCCCACCCCCACCCCTGCAGCCTCTACCTAGAAAAAATAGTATTTCTCCACAGTGGGGACCCAAGCAGGAAGGAAGCAACCTCAGCAGGGTATAATGACACGGAGTCCACCCTGCAAAGCAGCCATTTTCTCCAAGAGAACTGATCTCTGCCATCTGGAGAGCAGTTTTAATTCTGAGTGATCTCCAGCCCTCACCTGGAGATTGGCAGCAGTGGTTCCCCAGGAGAAAATAACTGCTT